CTAATTCACCTTTAATTGGAATGTATTTAGTGTTCCTGGAAAGACTGGGCAAAATGGTTAACATGGTGAAAAATGTCAGTGCATCACAAGAACATTTTACAGCTCCAAGAAGTGATGTTTATTACCATTTTGGGGATGGTATTGCAATAGCTTTAAGTTATTATAATGATATCAGGCTATCAAAATGTACCTTAACGACCAGAACTAGGGGGAGGAGGACTATGATACTAAATTCAAGTTTTGCCTGAAGACTATACAGGCAAGGCTGCTATGCACTTCATATTGCTTTTTCAGGTATTGTGGCAATAAGGCACAGGCCCCTCCTCAAGGAAAGGGAGGTAACTATTCTTTCTACATTGTGTTCCCCTTTTCTGTAGCATGGTCCAAAACACAGATTCATTCCTTAAATTTTGAAACTGAATCATCATGCATTATATTACTATTGGAATCTTTATACTGACTTGTATTTTTACTGAGAATTCATAAAACTTGTATCATTGGCATTGATCTAAGATTTGTAGAATAAACCCTACTGAATTCTGAAGTGAAGTCTTTTCTAATGCTTAGGCTGTGTTTTCTGGTTGAATTAAATCCCTAACAGACTGTTAAGGATCCCAGTGTTGAAGTCTAAATTGAGAGAACTGTGTGTAACTCACTTAGCTGTCCCTTGGTGCTGATAGGTCAGCAGGAAAAGGGTTACAATATAATTACTGTCAAATTGTTTCATTTTCAGAACTCTACACCATTACTAGTGCTACTGTCCCTCTGTTCCCTATCATACAAAAGCCACTTGAAGTCTCCAGGGATTAATACTCTGCTTGCTCCATATATTGGTGCAGCAGCTGTTGGTTCAGGAGAGCTGCACAGGAGCTTTGTCAGCCACTCTAATCCAAGGTTTGCCAGTGATGGAGAAAGGATAATGCAGATACCACCCTGTGTATTTCAGCAGATGAAGATATTTAGATGTACCACAAAAAAGGGCTATTCAGGCTGATTCTCTCCCAAAAGCTCTCCCCACTCAGGGACAGGAGGTGACAGCCTTCCACTGCAGCCTCCCTAGAAGTAGCTTCTTATATGCTCACAGGGTAGCTCTCAAGAATATCATCTGCAGCTTCCTAACGTGGCAAAGGTCTCACCAAGGCCCTGTTGTGCCCTCCCAGATGGATGAGTTTCTCCACCACTCTCTGCTTAAGATGCTTTTTTTAAAGCTAAAAAAACAACTATTTTCCCTTACTTATGCTGTAAGTACATCCTTATAACTTTTGGTGGTGTCAACTAGAAAGCTTTCCTTATCCTTGCCCAAACTCCTTTGGAACAGCTGCTTTGTCCAGAAAATCACTTTAATAAACAGAGAAGGTAACAATGAGAAAGCTTAAGACCCAGTTTTCCATTATCCATCCTGTTTCCCTTTCTTAAGGGAAGAGCCTGCCCAAGTACCCCTGTGGCTTAGGAGGCTTTGTACTGGAGGAGTTTCAGTGTGAGCCATGATATTCTCAACTTGTTTCTGTGCTCTCCCCTGCCCTGCAGCAAGAACTGCAGCTCAATCCAGATGGGACACAGCAAGTTCTTGAATAGCAATCAGACATCACTGGTGGTCTAACACTGATCCTCAATAAACCCAGTGACACCTGTTCCTACAGCAGAGCTCAAAATCCTGGGGAGCCACAAAATTACCTAACCCAATCTCCCACATGTTTCTCAGGCTACAGCATTTCCTCTCAGCTCTCTGAGCACATCACCTCCCCAAAAGATAGCCAAGCCCTTGTCTGTCTGCTGGCAGCAAGGGAGTTGGTTAACTCCTCTAGATGGAAGGAGCTCTCTGGGGGCTCTTTTGGGGTGGAAGGGACCAGACCCAGAAGTGCAAGATGCAGCCAGCACAGCTGACCTGGCTGAAGGAACCAGAGGTCACAGACCAGAGCCAGCCAGCCCCTGGGCACTGCTGTGCCCAGCCTTGGCAGTGAGTGCCCCACAGACCCCTGGTACCCTCAGTGAGGCAGCTCTGTACCCTTGCACTCTGCTCCCCCAGCCCACACCGTGCCAGTTCTCCTTTGTGCTGCTCTCCAGGCAGCTTTGGGCTCACAGCTGGGTGGCAGAGTGCCACCACAGCGATGGGAAAAGTGCCTTCAGGAATGCACCCGAGGCTGGGGCTCCCTACTGGCACTTACACATGCTCTCAGCTGCTGTGTGTCCCCACACAAGCATTTCCATCCCCTCAAAAACCTGACAGTCCTCTGGTCTTCCTCTCCATTGTGAAAAAGCCAAACTACTGCACTGGTTCAGGTGTCAGCATTTCCCCAAGGAAAAAGTGTCCGGGGCTTAGACTGTGCCCTCCATGCATGCTAAGATCCTGTTGCTTTACTATCTTCACAGCCCTCACAAACGAAAAGTTAAATCTGAATCTGCTGAAGGCAGCTTCCCCCCCAAATACCCATAAACCTGGACATAGTTTTGTTCTCAGAGCATCACCTTCCACACAGCCCCACTCCATCCCCTTCCACTCTAAGTCTACACACAGGCACATGCTGACAAACCATCACTTTGTTAGAATTCCTGCACCCAGCAGAAGCAGCCTCAAGCACTGCTGACATCCCCACTTCCCTGCACCATCCTCCTAAAGCGAGCTCCTGCCCTGCGTGCTCACCCACAGCCCATCACCTCTTTGGCTCAGTGCTGTCCCCACCACACTTGGACACCATGGCCAAGCACCTCATAGCCTGGGAATCCCAGATCCCTTCTGTGTAAGCTCCCAAGGACCTGGCTGCCAACACAACCTATGTGCACCCACAGCTCTGCACTTCAACCCCCAAACACTAAGCCTTGTCTGCAGCATCTCAACAGGACCCTGGCTGCAAGTTCCAGAGAAAAGCATTGGAGCATACCCCAGCTAAAGTTTCTGCTAAAAAGACAAGACTCAAAAACTTAGGGAATTGGCCAGAGGTGACCAGACTCTGGGGCAGAAGCTGCCTCTCTGCAGGTGCTGCACAAGGAGTGTTGGCGTCAAGTGGGTGTTCCAGCCTGTTACATGAACCACAGCAGCATGGTGGCATCCTCCCTGACCTCACCTACAGCCTCTCCACCTGCGGCTGATGGGCTGACCCAGATAAGACAGCACTGACAGGAACTCTGACATACAGCATGTCCCATGATGGCAATTGACAACTCCAACTGAACAGCCCCACAACAGGCACTTCCCTGTAAGCACTCCCCCATTTCTACCTTTGCCCAGCTGCAGATAGCATGTTAAGGAAATAAATGCACAGCTGTAAAGCCACATGGTCCCTAAGTGACAATCCCTGAGCCTGGGCACGGCTCCCTCCGCTCCGGTCACGAGCTGATCACGAGGGGAACCAGCAGCAGCAGCCAGGGACGCAGAGCAAGGCTGGCATCAGTGCCCTGCTCTGCCAGGTGTGACTCAGCAGGACAAAGACTGCTGGGCCAGGAGCAGGCAGCAGGCATCTCTGCTGGTAAGCTCTGCAAAACCAGGCCAGGTGAAGCACATCACTGTGCAAAATGCTTCAGCGTGGCATGGGACAGGGGGAGATGTCTCTCTGTACAGAGATGTTATGTCACCAAAACCAGAATGTTTCCTTTTGCCCTGCGGCCCTGCACAGCTCAGGAAATTGCGCCCTCACGGTCCTTCTGCCTCCCTCACCCCTCAGGCAGAGCTCCCAAACTGGTTTGTGCTGTTTTACAGCAGGCAGTGAATGTTTCTTTAGGGACCTCAGTCTTGGATGAGGATCCTGGGTGCTGCAGCAATGGAACTGCCTTTCTCCATGGCTTGCCACTCCCCTGGGCACAGCTCCTCACCTTGCCTTAACAAAAGCAAACACACACAACAGCCCTAAGACAAACACAGGGGTTACCATTCGGGTTTGTGATTACCATTCTCAGGTGATAACCCCACTACTTCACACTGAGCAAGCACCACCACTCCACCGTGGTAAACCAGAACCAGTGTCAGAGCTGAGATCCAGTCCTTAAGCAAGGTCCTATTCAGCTAAACTATTCAGGATATCCAACAGGGATTTAAGATTAATTTTTCCCCAGGGATGCAGGAAATCCCTCCTCATCATACTTCTTCCCAGGAGTATGCCACAATTTCTAGACTTCACACCACAAGACTGGCAACCCTTTTAGCTCTAGAAAAGGGGATGATCCCAGATCTCAGCCAGGCCCAGGCATTCCCATCTGGAAAGCAGAGACTGCCAGCAGTTTCATTGGTGCTGATCACTCATGAGAGGAGATGGATGAGAGCAGCTTTCAGCCTCATTCCCCAGCCACACCACTGACAAGCTGACTGTGCCACACACCTTCATGTCAAAGCACATGAGGGGGCAGAAAAAAAACCAACTCCCAAAACAGCAGTGTTCATTCATTTACCAGCCCCCAAATTCAGTGGTGCTAGCCATTGCCAGTCCGTGCTCAGATAAATATCGTGACAGACAGCTAGGGAGGCACGTCTCACTCACAGGGAAATGTCCACTTTGTATCCCCTCTGCTCCCCTCCTCACCCAGGGCAGCATGGCTGGCAGAGCCCTGCCGTGATCCCTAAACCCCCAGCCCTGCTTAGTGTGGGCAGCCTGGTTTCTGAGGCCACAGACATGCTCTGAACCCCTCCCTGAGAGCTCCCTGTCATGCCCAAGCTGGATGAGAGCTGGGACAAAGTACTGCCAATCCCAGACTCCGTATCTGGAGACACGGAAGAAAGAGCAAGTTTTCCTGCCACCGGAGATGGCAGCAGAGGTGCCCTAAAGGCACAGCCCAGTCTCCATGGGGTCAGTGACTCTTTCAGAACCCTTGGAGACCAGCCAGAAGAAACCTCTGTGTTGAGTGCTGCTTCTGGGGAAGGTACACCACACCCCAGCATCCTAGTTCGAATCAGGCCCCTGTGCCCTGTACCCACACAGAGAATGCCACAGGCCTGTGGAGCTCTGTCCTACATTCAAAAAAAGTGGATTCCTAGGGAGACAGCAGGGAAGGGTGAGCAACACTGACCTGGCACACAGACCCTGCCTGGGGGCAGCTGGAGCTGTCACAGAAACTCACAAACACAGCCCCCACTCCCGGGGCATGTGTGCACTGGGACAGAGAAAAGCACCTTCTGCAGCCTCTTATCACTCTGGACTTGGCTCAGTGCTCTCCTCCAGACACAGCTGGCACCAGGCAGCCAGAACTGGCATCAGGCATGACGGCTTTACCCCGTCCTTTTGCTCCAAGATATCTTTGTCCTCAGAAGGGTTCAATGTGTCAGTGTCAACAGCCATAAACCCGACTGTGTCCAGGAGACCCTGTGCTGGAAGAAGTATCAGATGGAGAAGCTGCACTTTTCAATCCAGTGGCTGATTTTCTGCCAGCTTGGTTCAGTCCATGGCTAATCTGCATCTCCTGGGAAAGGAGGAATATCACAATTCACGTCTAGAACTACCCAATGCTTTTTCCACCACAGGAAAAGCCACAGACATGAGTGAGAAAAAGCTCAGAAAGATGAGCAGAAAGCAGTTTTTCTTCTGCCCTAGTCAGATTCCTATTTAATCCTACAGGGCACAGCACAGCCCTGCCCAGAACCCCTCCATTCGAACTCTGACATTTCCCTCCCTGCAAGAACGCCTCCCCCGTGCAGCCCTGACTCACAGCCGTGGCTCCCCTTTATGCAACACAGCTCCGCTTCCTGCGCAGCCGGCGATGCCCGGTGCCAGCCGGAGCCACGGCTGCCAGGCTGCGCACAGCCTGCCAGGGAGGGAGGGAGGGACCCCTCCTGCTCCGGGACCTGCACTGCTGCCTCGGCTCATTGCACTATTCCAGTGTTTCTGCCCCCCAAACATCACCCACACCCCCTTTTGAGTGATAAATATCGAGCTCTCCACCATCACAATCTGATGCTATAATTAGACAGCCCTGCAGCACACATTGCTGTGTTACACAACACAGCTCGGAGCTCCTGGGCACCGGCTGCATTTGCATTTTAATCACATCACAGACAAGCTCTTAAAGCAAAATCTCCCGAGTGGCCGTGGTCACTGAGCTTTGGTTCAGATGACGAGGCAGTCTGCAAGCACTGCAGGTTCCCCTGCTCTAAAACTAAACCAGAGGTGAACTCCAGTCAGCAGCGGGTGTCAGTCCACAGGACAAGACCGGAGTTTGCCAGAAGTAAAACCTCCAGCACACATACCAAGAGGATGCCAGGTCCTTACTATCAACTGTTTGCTCAATATCCAGCCCCCTTTAAGGCACACAGGTTGTTAATGCAGACACAGCTGCTCGCAGCTCCATGCAAATCTCACTGACAAGGCACTACTGTTAGACCAAGAAATGGCTTTGATTCATGTAAAGGTTAATCTCAAAAGCCAGGCTCCAAACTCCAAGGCTTCACGGCTCTATCACATTTCTGTTTTCTGTTCCCTGCAGCAGCAGGGCAAGTTCCTGCCCAGATTTCTTCCTAGAGCTGCACCAGGAAGCACTGGTCTATCTGCACCAACTCACACTAATAAATCAGATAAGTAGTTCATGTTACTCACTTTCAGCTGACTGACACTGTGATAGCTCTGTCACTTTTCAGGGGCTGGGTGAACTGCCCTGCAGGAACACCACAGATCCTGGTGCAGCATGAGCCATATGGCATCTCCAGAGAGCAGTGCTGTGAGCCAGAGCCCCAGGCTCTGTCTGCAGCCTCCCCAACTACCTGGTACAATTTATAAGCAGGTATTTGTGCATCTAACTCCCACCAGATGCAGCAGGAGTAAAATTCTTAATGGAACTTTAAAAAGCCAACCCTGGGCCATCCCTGCTGGCACTGCCTGGCAGGAGGGCAGCTGGGCAGCACAGGGCCCAAACCTTGGCAGCTGCACACACAGCCTGAACAGCTGCTTTGGAATCTGCCAAACAACCGCAGGAGGGAAAAAACTGATCAGGGACAACATTTAGTATCGGTCATTTCCCAAGGTTACCATCAGCTGTGAAGAATGTTTATGTAATCAAAAAGTCAGTAGCAGTGGTGAAAGCCCTTCAGCTGTCCCTAGTCAGCATCGAATGTTCTAAAGAAAAGACCATTACCTAATTCAACCTAAAAGACCATTCTCCCAAACCCAAGTTTCCTGCATGATCTGCAAGACGTGATCTAAATAATTCAAAACTTCAATGGATCTAGGCCACAGACAGAGGTTTGTTTTTCAGCACAATGTCCCAGAAGAATTGGCTGTTTTGTTTGAATTTTTCCTAACTGACCATTTATAAGGACACCTAGAAGCAGACTGAGTGGAAGAGAAGTAGAAAGGATACTGGCAAGGGCTAACTTCAGCCCACAGCTGGGCTCCTCACACTCTAAGGAAAGATAAAACCATGGATTGCATCAGAGTCGTGTCTGAGGCTGCTGAGGGTCCACAGGTTAATTGCAAGAGATGTGCAAACACTCTCAGGGTCAAACAAGCTTGTCTTCTGCGTGCAAGGACACACACACACACACACACGTCTCCAAGGGTCTCCTAATAACAATGGCTGAAAACCCATCTAAGGGGGAGAGAAACCAATTTCAGCTCTTCCCAAGGAAGAATCCATGGAATGAATTCTCTTGGTTGACTGTGGAAGGAGCCCTGGTGGAAGTGCCACAGCTACATGAGCAAAATCATCACCCAGGCCAGCCCTCAGGCTCTTTCTAGGTGCAGACAGTTTACAGAATGATTGCAAAGGCAAATCTTTAACCCTGAAGTATTTTTTCCATCTGTGGAAATGAAGCAGTCCATGAAGCAGTCCAGAGTCCACTGGTTGACCTTACTTTTGGCTATGTTGGTTTTTTCCTCCCCATTACTTGCACGTAATAATGGCAAGTTACATAAAGTGAGGAAATGGGACCAGCACAAAGGTCAAACTAATTTTCATATTAAAGGCCTTGCACAATTATTTTTACAGCAGGCCTTTAATGACATCTTTAGTCCAGTTACAAGGTTGAGGTTACAGGCATTTTCAGGTAACTTGGGCAGGTTATCAATACTTGCTGGGAAACATGTTTTGTTTTTCGTATTTCTTTGCCAGAAGGAGATGGCAGTGATTGTACTCATTTCAGAGAAGCTAGATGTTCAAAAGGACAGAAATAACAGGAAAAGAAACTTGTTTCACTTGACACAATTTCTCAAATCTGCTTTATCACAGGCAAGCTTTATAAGTACAATTATAAATACTAGAAATGCAACAAACTATTTAATACATTGGCCAATATTAAGCATCTACCAACTTGATCACACACCCACATTCATATTTTATATGAAATAAAGAGCTTATCGCTCTGCTTGAGGTTTCCAGACAGATTAGGTCAATCTGGGGACAATAAACTTCAGAGAAACTGTGCCACAGCTTAAAAAGCCTGTATTTAAAGGAAGTACTGTCCAGACATAAAGTATCCAATTTCCAAGAACCTGATCTCTGCAGGATACATGAAACTGCATGTAAGAACTGACATATATTAATAAAAGTTACATTTCAAAATCCTAACATTTTATTTCACACTTTCCAAATTCCATGTCATGTGTTCAGCAGAACAGCATGGCAATGATGAAACATTTTGGATTAAAATAATTATATTTTTATTAGTTAAGGACCTCCAGCTCTATGGATCTTGTGAAGAACTCTGTCCCTCAAATTCATCCCCTGCTATTGTATCAATGGTCCTAAAGATTTGTATTTTTTTTAGTGCCCTGACTTTAATAGATATTTTGCACCAGTATTTTCTGCAAAATCAGACCCTCAATGCATTAGATACCTAGAGTTTTAAGTGGTTATAAACTTCACTGTTCAGAAACAGAAATGAGCATAGCCACAGCCTCTATCAAAATTCACTACCAGCAAGATAATTATTTCTTCATCTCTAAACTTCCTATTTCTTTCTCTCTTAAAACCAGATCATACAAGCAGAGCTTTGAACTTTAGAGAGTCGATATTTCTTTTTGTTTAACCTATTTCACAACCCCCACTACTTGCACAGCTCTATTAAGCAATTACCTTGTGATGTGATTGGTGTGCACACCACGAACTATGTATTTGTAACCCACTGCTCCCTGGGACGTGCAGCCACATCCATGGGCTCCAGCAGAAGTCAAACAATGGGGTCACTGTTCCAGCCCTGGCTCACCCTCTCAGGGCAGGTTTTTTCCTCTCTGCTTCCTTTCAGGGCTGAGCCATTGCTGAAGCTTTTCTTACAGCTCCGCTTTCTGGAGTCCTGGCACTTGGTGAACAAACAGTTCCTCACTTATAAAAAAGATTATTGGAAACAGAAATTCGGGTTTTAGCAGACAGAAAGGCAATGAGAAGCACACCAGATGGTAAATTCTGATATTTTAAGGAAGTCATGTAGTTTTGGGAGCCTAGTGAGGGAGGTAGGGGAGAAAAGGAGATTTAGGTATATATTTGTTCAACTGACAGCCTTTTACCTGTCAGTATCAAAGAGGAGTAGACAAAGCCTAGAAAACTGCTGAGATGTGCTCCTTGGATCATGCTGTAATTCAGCCAGTTGCAGCACGGCCTCCTGTGAGTTTGGTTGAGCCTGCAGGCTGCCACGCTGTGCCCATCCTCCTCCCGCCTGCACACAGCCAGCCCCGCACTCTGGGAATGCCAACCATCTGCTCCAGCAGCCCTCCCACGCCCAGCCTGCCGGGGCAGGCTCCTGCCCAAGGCCGATCCATCCAAAGCCGCTCAGGGTGGATCAGCACTTTCCCCTCGCTCCGTGCGGCTCCCCCTGTGCTGAAACCTGCCTGCAGCACCGCGCCCCAGCTTCTCCACAGAGCCGGAAAAGGGATGCGCAGAGGACACCGGAGCACAGCAAAGCCACCAGAGCTGGTGGCTGGTCCTGCAGCAGCGCACAACCAGCCCACGGCCATTGAGGCAACAACGAGAGCCCAGCACACGCTTCCAGCGGCACTGCGCCACGGCAACACGGCTGCGGTGGTCCCTGCACGGCTTGGAGGCACCGGTGTCCCTGCCACAGCCCAGGGCTGCTCTGCCTTCCTTTCAGCACAGCCCTCTGCTGCCAAAGAACGGTGTCTGGAGGTTCATTTCCTGCCTGCCTTCATTCTTGCAGGGTCTGTGGCCACCCACTTGGTGCTGCGGAGCATGTGGAATCACGAGAACATGGTACAGCTACAGGATTTACTGGCTCAGGTTTGCACCTGCCAATGTTTATGCTTTGGGAAGAATGCCTTAGAGCACTCACCTGGTTTAGAGCTACAGAAATGGTACATTATACATGCTGTGAACAAGGAGAGGTGCTAAAAACCTCCTCTAATAGTCCATGTCTCTCAAAGAAACAGCGCACCATGATCCAAGCAAAGAAGCCAGCACATAAAACTGCAGAAAAATCACACTATGAAGAGTCAGTGTCCATAAAGGAGACAGAGGAGTTC